GTATGTATATATATATATACGTAGAGGCTGTACGGGGGCTGGGCTTGGGTTTGCCTGTAACCCCACAGCACGCATTTTCGCACGAAAACTGATACCGAGGCTTCAAAAAGAGGAATCCTGGAGACGTGGGTCTTTGGGGATACCGGTGGGGCTTAGGGTGCAATCTTCGTTTGAGTGAGGCTCGCTTTGTGGTGTACGGTGGGGTTTTAAGATTTCTTGTGGCTTCAGGCATTGAAAGGTTTGGGGGCTGGGACTTGGGGTTCCTTTTCCTGTGTAGGCTTTTCCTGAGTAGGAACCTCGCACAGCGCAGGTGCATCACAAAATCGTCAACTAAACCCTTACCCCAGGGTTCTCAGAGAGAGCACCCGAAGCCCTTTCGAATTGCTGCGTTCCCCTGCCCAGAAACAGCATGCCGCTTGTGTTGCCGGTAATCTTCCAGATTCGCAACCCTCAACCTTCAAGCCCGACACCCGGAAACCCTTTAGCCCCGCGCGTACACCCCCTTTGTGTACACCACGGGGCCACTTCTTTAAGGGAACTGAAGTCTCCACTATGATATTCCTGTCCAAAGGGTTATGAACGTGAACCCCAACACAGCACGTCGGCCAGGGTTTGACGGACTTATGGTAAAACAATATAAGGACTACATCGGAATACTCTTACATAGTATTCCTAAACCCGTATAAAAAAACCGCACAAAGTCTGACGAAACCCTTCATGGAACCCTTAAAAACAAAGGGGACACCATTACTATCCCTGTAGCAAACACCCCGGGGCCTTGACGACCACCTTTCGGCCTTCATCAAGCTTTCCAGCCTCGTACCTGAACAAGCTATTTCGATACTGTGGGGCGCTTTAGGGCTTTAGGGCTTCGAAGTTTTGGGAGGTTGAGGATCCAGGTTCTGGAACTTTCGGGTGGTTCTTCTGATAGGAAGCTTAGCAGTGCCCATCTTTGTATAGTCCCTAGTGAGAGGGAAACGGTGCTTTCTGAACCCTTAAGCCACGTAAATCCTGAAGCATGTGACCCCGAAGCTCCTCAACCATGTGTACTCCGAAATCCCAAATCAGATAAACCTCTTGAACCCAAACCACTACCCCATAGACACCCTGGCCCTCACCGTCCCTAACCCTACCCCCATAAACCTTCGTGAACCTAAACTTCACTTCACTTCCTAAAACCCACTTTGCAGCGGGCCCGCCTCGTCGCCCGCAATCTCTCTCTGAACATGTGCCCAAGCAGAGGCCAACCCTCGAAACCCCTCCCCTAAACCCCCCCGAAAACTCTGGAAAAAAATGCCCCAAAGCACCTGCCGGCCGAACCCATAGTCTCCTCGGCATTCCTGGCTTCACTAGGATTCGTTCCAGGTTCTGGGGCGCTTAGGGTTTTTTTTGGGGGCTGCCGGAGGAAAGGTGTGCCTCGCAGCAGACTCGTCTACCTAACAGACCTTCGGGTTCAGGTGACTGGCAGGGTTAGAGCTTACAGGTAGAGTTTGCGGCTTGGGGCTTGAAGTGGCTTTTCAGCGTACATGGAACAAGGCCTTCATTTCTGCAACGGGGCCCTATAGATTTAAGGTTTCGGATTTAAGGCTGGTTTCTTTTTCCCTCCTACGTAGCAAGGACAAGCCCGCACTATTGCAGGATGCAGGAATTAGGAATTAAGATTTCGTCTAACAGTTTTTTTCCTAGGGTTCGGGGTCTATAGGGTTTAGGGAGCGGCACGTTCCTGTTCCAGGCTTGCAGGGAGCCGGAAGGAAACCGACCAGCCAAACGGCTTTGGTCTTCTGGGATCCGGGACCTCAACATGCAGGTCTCAAGTGTGTATGATGGTGTGGGTGACGGTGCTGCTTGAAGAGCACACTGCGTCACTACGTGGGAGCAACCTTCGTGGTCATCGTCGGCGGCGGTAGCATCACAGGCCTTTTTCATGCTACTCCTGAAGAGTGCACCTGCGCCCTCAATAAAACGAAAGCTTGATGCTGAATTCGTGTAGCATGCCCTATTTTCCTTCGTTTCTGCCTTCCGCCCTTCCTTCCGAGAACCCGCTAGCAAGCCCCGACAAAGCAATGCAGTCAGGAAGGGCGTACCCCCTCAAGATGATACAAATCTAAGCCTCTACGTATAAGCTCTACCGAGCGGATAACTCCCCGACACCCACAAAACTCCAAACCGTGGAAGCCTGGAACAAGAGCCCTCCCGCCGCCAAGCAAAACGCGCCAACAAACAAATAAACAAACGCCCGCGCCAGAATCTCTAAGCCACCGAAACTTCACACTTAAAAGGCCTCTCTTCAAGCCTCAGACGGCCAACGGAAACCAAGCCTTCAGAACTCAAATACAAAGAAAAGCCACAAGAAATCCAAAAGCCACAACAAAGAGAAAGCGCACAGAGAGCTCTTTGGAACTATCAACCCAAAAGAGAAGCGCACACACACACACACAGAAAACCCCGAAAAAAAGCCCCGCACCTCCTTTCGGGCCCCCCTTTAAAAAAAAGAACAGGCCTCAGGGCCCGGAGCACCAGCTCCTCCGAGAGCTCCCCCGACGTCGACTCTTTGCCAGCGGGCGCCGACTCCGAGGCCTCGCTGCTTTGGTTCCTTTATTTTGGGTTTAGGGTTTTGGGGTTTTTTTTGCCTAGGGTTTAGGGTTTAGGGTTTGGGGTTTTTTTTCCCACCCAGCTGACTATGTCGCACCGGTTTGGGGTTTAGGGTTTAGGGTTTTAGGGCGAGGCTCGGAGCCCCGAATCGCTCTCCTTGGGTTGGGTGTTGGCTGCTGGTGGGCCTTAAAGAAAAAAGGGATCCGGCGGGGCTTCGGTGCAGTAGGATGCTTAGGGTTGTTTCGGGCTTTAGGGCTTTAGGGTGTGACGGTTTTTTTTAACGGGCACCTTGTGGCGGTTAGGGGGTGTGCCTTTTTCAGTGGGGGCTTCGGTGTGAACATGTATTTGGGGCACCATGGGTTTGGGATCTTTAGACCTTTCGGGTGGAACATTCTTTTGGGGTGTTGTGGGTGACCTCAGTGGCCTGCGTGTGCCAGAAAGGTTCCTTCAAGCTTTTTGTTCAGATGGCTTCTTTTCTGTGGAAAGGCTTGAACTGCTGGTTGCGCCCCAAGCTTGACCAGCCTAGCCATAGCAGCAACCCAAATCTTTGGGCAATGTGTTCTACTATCTTTGCTCTCCCATATGCGGTTTGCAACCTTCCGTGGGCTTTAAGGCCTTACGGCTCATCGACGCTTCTCAGAGACCCCCTCATTGAACACTCGAGCCCGAGCCCAACAGTCAATCCCCAAGCAGAACCGTAAAACAACAACAGACAACAAGAGTGCCAAAAATCCCCACCGAAGCTTTGCCCTCCATCTCCCTCTTGCAATCCCTGCAATCCCCCCTTGGGCCAAGCTCTGAGTCCCGTGGCCCCCATGGATCGCGGCTCGCAGGGCCATGGGACAGCAAGGGTCACATGTCGGGAGTTTTTGGAAATGTCTACCACTTTGCATTTTTTCTTTGGTTGCCGTCTAGTTCTGCATCGGCTTAGCGAGGATCTTTGTTCTGGAAGAAGCAGCAACATAGCTATAGGCTAGGCCAGCTTGCGGATATACGCCGGGAATGATTGCGCTGATAGCCACAATGGCTCATCAGAGCTCAGACGAATCACTACGCAAGGCTCTGCGCACGGTATCATGAATGCCGAACTGGATAACGAAACTTCTGTACAGCGTCTCTACATGTGTATGGTCTGCGACAAAGCCGAAAGTGAAGCATCACCCAAAGAGAACTGGTACACCAGTGGTACATGCCCTCATCCGTGTCTGTCACGACCAAGCTTTGGACTTTCGGGCTTGGGGTTTATTTGAAACTTAGACCTTAAGCGGGCCAGGTGGAGTTTACCCGACACCCTGCAACCGCACTGCAAAGCCCAACAGTACTCGTTGTTCACGCGATGAAGCCCCAGTTCTCGAAGTTTTGGACTCTGTGGGGTGCTTTGGGTCTCTGAAGGTCTGTTCGGGGCATTGGGGGGCAGACTTTCAAGTACACCTGGCCTCAGCTAAGCAGAACCTACTTCTTGGCACTGTTCCGAGACCTACCCAACAAGAAACAGCTTTGCTTTGTGGGTCTGAGGTTTGCGACGAGGTTGTCCCCCGCTAGATGCGGGGTCTGGGGCTCAGCGGTTTATGCGGGAGGCTGAGGGCTAGAGGCCAAATCAGGAGTTTAGCGACGGAACATGCATTGCTCGGGATCAAGGCATCGGTAGTCTTAGAGCTTCGTCTCTCGAGGGACCGAGAAAGTTTCCGCCTCGGCGCGAGGCAAACCCAAACTCGAAAACTCGAGCCCTTGCAAAATCCAGCCCTCAACCGCCCAGTCTTTGGAAAGCAAAACCTACACCCTCTGCATCCCGCTGTCCAGAGGTTGCCTTTCTCTGAGGATCTGGCAATGATGGTGCCTCTGTGCACCTCCACCGGTCCGTAGCTGGTCTGTACAAAACAGCCTCCGTCGCAAAGCTTGGAAGTGCAGGGCTTGATTGAGACGGCTTCAAATCTTCATTCAGGCTTAGTGCTTTAGGATTCATGGGCTCCTTTGCCCTTCGGGCTTGAGTTAGACAATAAGAATCTTGGATTTGGATCTCAGCAGCCTCGCGATCGGACACATGATGCACTCGCGAACTTCCACTGGTGCCGTTGCGGTTACCACGACAACCCCACCTGCTCTACCTCCTCTACACTACGCTTGCGGTCTTGGTTTCTGGTCGAACTGCTCTGCTTGGGTTTTGTGGCGGTAAATGATTTGATCTTCACGGTTCAATCGAGATACGGGATCGGTTCAGGGGAGCCTTGACATGCAGGACTCTCCACTGGGATCTGCCGGTTTGGCCACGGTCTTTCTCGGACATACCTGTAGCCGGCAAGCGCTCTTGAGGGGAATGCCCGCTTGTTGCAGGTCCTGCCTCTTGCCTTCCCAACTGGGTGCACTCATGAAGTGCAAGGAGTGCTGGATGCACGAAAGTTTATGGCCAGGGAAGTCCGCTTTATGGATGGGGCCGCATCGGCCCCGTGAATTGTGCTTTTGTCCCCACAGCTCCGAACCGCGAGTTTTGGGAATGTTGTACCAAAATAGACATGTTCTGCAGCTTGCGGCCCATACCGTACGCCGTTGTTTCCAGCCCAAGTCCCCTTTGCTCCAAGCGGCTGTTCGGGCAGGTCGAGTCGTGGACCAAAACCCAACCATCGAGGAGCTCGAGGAGGGGGCCTTTATCCTGCTTTGGAGGATTGGCTGGATTTACGCGCTTCAGCGTACTTCTCGATTTTGGTGTTTAGACTTAGGCCCAGATGCCTGTCCGACAAACCTCGGCATCCATAACAAGAATCCCAAAAACCCGTCAGAAGCCCCAAACTCCGAACCCTGAACCCGAAATCCTACGATAAACCCTGCTTCCAGCCTCCACCGAAAGGTCCACGACCGCCAAGGCCTCCACTCGCTCGCGCAGCGGGGCCGCAAAGTCCCGGAGCCAAGCGAGGGTGAGGTCACTGAAAGTAAGCAGGAGGAGGTCCACATGGGCCTTTGCTCGTGACTTCATTCTTGTTGATATGATCAAACTTCCGCATGCACTTCAAGTGTTTTTTTCCGGGGCTTCGGATCTCACCGCGACTATGATGTGCAAAAACAGTCCTGGGCACCTGATCTTCCAGCCACTGCGACAACGACGCCAAAGATGGCGGGCCGCAGTGAAGGGAAGGTGATTGCAAATCGCCCAGAAAGACTTCCCAGAGGAGGCTGCAGAACCACTCCTCGCTTTCCTGGCTCCACACAACGTATAATGCGCGCGGAAACAAGCTCTCGGGCCCGAAACCCTCAAAATCCTAAGCCAGGCTGAGCTGCGACCTCTGCGACGAAGATCTGCGGAGGTCCCAGAGCCCTTCGCTGGGAGAGTTTCCCTGCACGTGCTGCCCAGTGCCCCAGCATCGCCCCGGCTGTCGCCATGACGAATGGGCGAGGTTTCTCCGCCTGTGAGAACACAAGAAGAAACAAAAAGTCTTGGAATGTCCTAGACTTAGAGGGTTTGGGCTTAAGGTGTTCAGGGCTTACGCTCTTACACTCGGACTCGCCAGAGGGTTTAGGGATGCTACCGGAATCTTTCGCGAACGCGTCGTGGGCCTCACTGTTCAGAACGGCCTCCCCGACCACGATGGCCAAGAAGTAACTCGAATCCACCATAGGAAGGGGCGGGTGCGCAAGCTGCAGTCCCGACCTTAGGTGGGCCACATTGACCTGGCAGAGCCACGTCCAGTTCTCCTGTTCCGCCATCCAATGATCACTCCTGCCGAAGGGTCGTGGGCTGGGGGAATTTGGAGCAACAGGAACCTTACCTAGGCGGCAGCTTGTACGACTTGCTGCTTCCGATCGGGATGCAGAAGCTCACGATGAAGTCCCGAACCTAGCTCTTCCACGACCTTGCACGAATCCCGATTCAGCCAAAGCATGAGCCCCAAAGGTGCAAAGTCCAGGGAGCCCTACACCTCACACCCGGAAACGCTTAGAAGTCCTTGCAAAAAAACCCTCGAAGGTCCTAGACCCGCCTTCGGGGACCCGTCGCCTCGCGTCGGCAGATGCTCCGGGGCCAACGCAGGCCCGTCCAGTCGAAGAGGAACCTCGGCTTGCAAGGTTTTAGGATTTGGGATTTTGGGGTAGGAGTTGGAGGTCTTAAAGGCCTCTAGGATTTGAGATATTACGAGTTCAAGGTTTTAGCTTTGAACCTTAAAGTTTAAGGCGTATTCCCTAGGGAAGCGACATGCAACTATAGTTCAAGACTTTTTGGCTCCGGCATTCCTATATAAGTAAGTTATGGCAAACGTAAGCAGAAAGCGTTGAGAAGTCCTTACCAAGCCTCCTTTTTGGAGAATCCTTCCATCAACCCCGAACCCTCATTGCCTGATGCTACCCTAAACCCTACTCCGAGACCCTGTACCGCTAAAGGAAACCATTCAACTGTCAGGTCCCTTGCAGCCACGGCGCTCCTCCGTTACCGGCCAAAGCCCGCTCTGGAAATCGTGGAATGCGGGGTGGTGCTCATACCTACGTGAGTTTGGCTTAAAGATTTTGGAGTCTTGCGGCTTGTCGCCTTCAGCATTCAGGATGTCGGGTTTCAAGCCTTCTTCAACTGTTGCGGGCTCGCGGTCTGCTTGCTGTGTGGCTCTGGAACCTTTCGAGTCTTGCGGTTCGTTTAAGCCTGCTACACATCAGAAGCGAGGATCACGCGAAGGAAAGCCTCCCCCTTCATGGTGCCATGGTGTCGTTTTAGTGCAGGGTTATCTGAGGGGCTAAGGCACCAAGCTTTTTTGGCAGTGCTGATACTGCCTCGCCCTATCGGCGCGATTCACAGCCGGCGGCAGCTGCCGGGGCTCAGCGACAGTCTGCAAGCGAAGGCGCTCGAGTGCCTGTGCAAATTAGCAACTTCAAGAAGCTATGAAAATTTTGGTTTTTTGTCACGCACCTTTTTCGACTGCAAAAATAGGCTGCTGTCCCTACGACTCCGAAGACACGGTGCAAAAAGAAGCAGAAGAAGCTTTTCACCCAAGCAGCAACCTAAGTGCTAGGCAGCAGCTGGGGCAGCTTTTTCCTTCATTCAACACACAGTGTAGCAGAAGCCTTTGCAGCAGAGAAAGCCACGTTTATGAAGTACGAACAACCCCCAGAAAGCTCTCAATCAATATGCGACTAAGAAACTGTTGGTTTCTAAACATGAAAAATGGTCTCACACACCGTTGCAGAATCTTATCATGCGGACTTTTTGCGTGACCCGGTGGAAGGCCCCCCTGCATTGCTTAATAATCCGAAGCCACCGAAACAGCTCTTGTCCAAGATTTGACAAGGGACGTCTGTCAGCTGAGCTCCGCTGCTCTTCGCTGGCATCCCGAGCTCCTTCATGCGTGTGGCGGTTGGCAGCGCTGCTGGTTCGGCGGTTGGGGAATTGAGGAGTTCGGGTTTTCAGGGGTTGGGAGCAGCTTTTTGAGAGGCATGGAAAACGAAGATCGCAGGTGGTTCAGATCAGCAAAAGGCAGGCAACTGTTTTGCAAAATCCGGCTTGGCTCTGTGCGAGTGGCTTCGGGTTCGTGTTCCGGCTGCAGCTACGATTCGCTTGCATCCATCAGCGACTAACATAACGGTTGTTGCAAGGGTAGTGGCCCCGCAAAACGTTCTGACATGTTATGACGCCTGTCGTCAGTCTTGTTCGTGTACTGTCGAGTCTTTCGGTTTATATCTGAAATGATCGTCGTCCTCCTCGATCACGCAGCCTTTTCCCGGACCCGGAGCCCCTTTGGTGCGGCCGCAGCTCCGGAAGGGACCACCATGAAACCGAAACACAGGGACGCCAGCCTTGCGAAGCTGTGGTGCTGGGGATGGAGCTCTCGGCAGCCTATGGGATGTGGAAGCATGGAACTAGATCCCCTCTGTTTTGGTTTGATCGCCAGATTCCAACGACCATACCAAACAGCCATGGCAACAGGAGTCCTTGTCGTCGTTGTTACAGTCGTAAGCAGAAGCTTAGCCGAATGGTCGTGGTCAGGGCCGTGGTGGCAGCTATTCGTTGTAATCTTATTGCCGGCCGAGGCAATGGTCTTTTTTTCCCTCGGACCTTTTTCCGGCTGCCAAGGGTGCAGAAGGCTAGGCTACAGTTAGCTAGCAATGGTCCCAACTGCAATAGCGACGGAAGCAACAGCAGTACTTCCAGCAAATTCCGGTAGCAGTGACAAGCTATGGTTTCACGCATGCCACGCGTTTTTTGCAAGCATCCTCGCGGTCCTGCAACCGGAACTCAAGCGCTGCATGCCGAGCTTCCAGACGCCACCAAGGAATGTGGAAGCCAAAGCGCCCTGCAACGCGCAGCCCAGCTGCCCCGCCCCCCACTTGCAATCATACCCCCGCGGCCGGTCAGCTCGCAATGCTCGCGACGCGTGAAGAGAACGCTGTCGCGTGAGGCGTCGGACAAGGTCGGCATGTTGCCCCCAATATCCTCACATAATTACGCGCAGAACACCGCCAGGCGCGTTGCCCACACCAGCTAGCTCGCCAAGTGCCCAAACGAGTTGAATGAGCAAGGATCAAAGTAGCAGTCAGTGAAGCTGGGACCAACTTCGCCGAGGCATCGTTATGGTCGTGTTTGGGGCCGCGCTACACACACGGAGACTGCCAATGCCATGTGTTGCGGCAGTGAACAGCACCACACTCCGCATTTCCGATCGCTACTGAACACACTTCCGTAGCTTCGCAGAGCCAAGAACTCAACCGTAGCCGTTCTGGCTCAAGCCAAATATTTGGCTCGCTCAAGTGTGTTGGCTCTCCGTCCGGGCACAAGCATAGTCTCCTGTCAGTCGGCCACCCCTGGGCACTGAGCCGCATGGCGGGCCGACCCGCGACTGCTCCGGGGCCTTAAGCGCAGCTGGAAGGTTGGAGTCGCTCAAAGTCAGGTAGAGGGGCGGCGGCCTGCATGCATGCTGCGCTGCTGGAGATCGCAGGAGTGCAACTGAGCGGCGTGGTCGAACAAGAGCTCGTTTCTAACGTCGTCGCCGCCGGGGGCGTTCTTCGTCCAGTGCCTGCACAGCCTTCTGCCCGGGAAGAGCCCAAAGCTCCGCCGGCGGCTCCGCGACTGCATCCTCCCACACCGCCGCCTGCGCATCGGTCCCGTGCAGCCGCATGGGCACCAGCGCCGGCCCAGTCTGGCCGCGGTCGCAAACGCACCGAAAAAACTCAAACCGAAGCAGAAAGGTCCGCCCTGGGACCATCCACCGCCGCAAGGCCTGACTGTGTCGGGTGCTGCCGCCGGCGGCTACCACGGGCCCTTCAATTTTCTTCCCTGCAACTTGTGTGCAGTCTGCTGGCCTCGTGCGTGCGCTTCCGCCAGGATCTGATCTTGCAGTGAGCTGGGCGTGGCTTGCATTGTTGTTGCATTCTTGGTTCTGCGAGGTTGCCGTAAGAAGCCTGCCTCGAACCGTCTGCTGATGCCGGAGCCAAGGATGCTACACTGATGCTACCTTGTAAATAGTTTTGCACGCGCTTGCAGGGCAAATGTGCAAACTGTGGCGAAGCCATCGGGCACCCACCTCGCGAGCCCAGCCGGCGGTCGCGGTGCGAGTCGCTCCGCCGTTGCAGGGAGTGGGCGGATGTGGGCGGTATTGCGGGGCGCACATGTCACCACGCCTGCCATGCGGCCAACACGACTAATGCCGAAGGTACAAGCCCCCTCTCCGGAGATCGCCTGCGCAGCGACGCACCTAAACTTTCTGACGGTGAGCCGTAAATCCTGTCTCCACATAACCCAGCCCTCCCGTCGCTTTGTGTCGCCTTGCGCACACCCTGTTTGCGCAGGCATTCGTTCCCCAGCTCCAGTAACTTTGCTTGCCTTGCCAGTCTGCCCGGTCTCATCACCCAGGCTGGCAAAAAAGCCCTCGCCCGCGTCCGCCACGGAGGTTGCCCCCCGACATGCGTAAGGTTTGGCGTGAACGGGAGGAGCTGCGCAACCATTGCTGCCGTACATCACGCAGGTCTATGCAACGCAGCGTGTCTACATGTGGATCGACGCCTAGAGCCGTAGCCATGACATCTTGCAGGGAGATGGCAGCGAACAAGGTGATCTATTGACGCCCAGCCTCTGCTCCGCCGCGGGGCCTGAGACTCTGCGCACGGTCCAGGGTCGCCTCGGCGATGTTGAAGCTGTGTTCGCATTCCGGGAGCTGTACTCTGCAGTAAAAGACGCGTCGTGGAACCACGAACGTGTCCAGCTCAACCCCGGCAAAACAAAGATTTGGAATGCGGCTGGTGGGGAGCCTGCCAATATCGGCGACGTGCCGCGTCCTGACGGCGACCTGGCATTGATTGCGCATAGGACACCTCCGCGCCGATGTCGCTCGGTTCCGAACCATTCATCTCACAGCAGCTTCGCGCCAAACAGTCGACCCAAAACATCCCACGACCGGTTGCTAGAGGCCTGCTAGCGTGGTTTCTGCGCTATTTTGCTTCACCACGCGCCAACTACTCATTGCGGCGGATGCGGCGGCAACATGTCTGGCCACCCTCCTTAGCTTTGCGGACCACCCGCCGCCCGAGAGGCCCACGTGGGCTGCCTAGCTCCCCACCAGGTTTGGTGGCCTCGGCGTGCGCTCAGCCGTGCTGACCGGCATGCAGGACACTGGGCGACACGCTCCGTGCCAGGCGCCAGCCGCTGCTACTCGCATGGTGCAAGGCAACCTACCTCCGAGGTCAAGGCTACGCCATGCCACGAACGGATGCCCCTCGGCGTCCCCTGTGTGTTAGAAGGGCGTTAGAGGAGGGGCGCGACGTGGAAAATGCCGGATGCATTATTGAATGTCTGGCTTAGGATATTCTACATTATTCGGATGTGACGGTCCCCTTCTGCAATTAACCGTATGCAAGATACACATGTTAAGAGGGTTTAGGGCAGCTCAGAAACAATAGTGTGCAGAGCATGTAGCCAAAAAAAACATCAGGAGAAGCCAATTCCAACAAAAGGTACGGCAACTGTCGAATTAGCGTGGCACTCCCCGCCACATTGTGCCAGTGTTTCGCAGTTGGGTCCGGCCCAGCGCAGGCATAGCATGGTATAGCGATGGAGTACGGGTTCGTATTGTAGAACATGGGTGGAGAGCACGTCGCCCAGACAGGAGCAAACAATGACAGGACGAAGTTGCAACAACAGACCCCGAATCGTTAATCGGAGCGATGGCCGAATTGTGCATTTCGGCCGCCGGTAGAAGTGGAAGGTTTTCCAAGGTAACTCAGCCCCCAGTCAACTCCTGAAACAAATCCACCCCCAAGTGCAGCGTCATGTCCAGAGCGTGTGCATATCGGGGTACGGCGGCACGTGAGGCACCGGATTCTGCATTACAAGAGCCTCCTAACAGCATCCTGGGCATTCAAGGGCAGCCTCCCCTTAACGTCGAGTGTGTTGTAATCTATTGCAGAATGCACCGGGGCACGCACATCGAAGCCTGTGCATATCCGGGTGCGACGGCACGTGAGGCTCTGGATGCTGCATTAATGGAGCCTCTTGACAGCATCTCGGGCATTCATGGCATGGCAGCCATACGTAACGTCGCGTGTGTTGTAATTTATTGGAGAATGCACCGGGGCACGTCGACACAAAGCCTGTGCATATCGGGGTGCGGCAGCACGTGAGGCATCCTGGGCATTCCAGGGCAGCCTCACGTAACGTTGTGTGTCCTGTAGTTTATTGCAGACAGATTGCAAAATACAAAGGGGGACGTCTAGCCAACGCCTTGCAATCCTGTGCATATCGGGGTAGAGTGGCACGTGAAGCACCGGATTCTGCAATAAAGGAGCCTCCTAACATCATCCTACGGATTCCACGGAAGTCCTGGGAAACCTTGCATGTCCCTTGCCAATGGCAGAATTCCCACCCGATGATGAATCCAGCATTTTTTGGTCTGCACGTCATGACGCTTTGTGTATCCACGCCGGACGCTTGCTAGAGACGGTGAGACCTTGTCTCGCTCTGCTTCCCGTAGCCGCATCGGGAAGAAGCATGGAAAACCCCTGCGCTTCCTAGCAGGAACAAGGGTAGAATATTTTCCGGCACGGATGACTTGACAGGAACAGAATTTTTGCTGCGGCTCTGGTGCCGTTTCATTGAACTACAAAAGGGAACTTTGTGGAGGAACACCACTCAAAGTTTAATTCCGAAAAGTCTGATAGGTTGGAACGATAATCCACCGATACCGATAAGCCCGTCCATCACAAAGACTGTATATTGCAGAATCCTACGTGACGTGGAACGTATCACTCGTCAATATTTTACGTTTGAAGACCCAATCTGCCCCAACCATGGCTTATAGCAGAATACACGCGGTTCAATATACGTACGTGCACCTACTCTGGCAATAAACCAAGGATGGGGGATCCCCCGGCTACCATCTGCAGAAACGAAACTGGTGACCACTTGCGAGGCTGGCAGCACCTGGCCCATGCTTGTGACGAGCGCGCGCCTCAGACGCATTTTGCAAACCTTTCACCCGAGTCCCTAGCGCTGCTGCTATCGTCAAGGCAAGCCCACATGCCATCCGCAGCTTTTTTATCATGCCGACACATGCGGGTGTCACCATTCCCAATGACAACTTCCGAGTGATGCTTTGTGCCGCATTCGTTTGCCACTCCCGCTCGCGCCCCACACTTGCAGCTGCCGGGGTGAACGATTCACCGTTCGCTTGCGCTACATCTTTCTGCCCTTGCTGCGCGCGCCATCCCTGTTGAGCGGGCTGTTGCGAGAGTTTGCAGGGAAGCTGGAGCACGGGTTGCACTCAACGTGCGTTTCGCCGACAGGAACCATCATGTTCCAGTGCACGACGCGCGGCGCATCGAAGTTGTCTGCAATCGGCTGCCACTCTGGCATGGACACCAGCTCGTGGTGGACGCCCCTCTCGTCAGCCCCGTCGGGCGTGACAGGGAGCCCTGGGACGGATCCCAAGCCCGCACTGGTGTGCTCGCCAATGCCGCCAGGCGCAAGCGCCGACAGACATACCCGGAGCGCAGCGCTGCACGCCGGTGCCGCCTGGTAGCCTTTGGCATCGAAATTTGGGGGCCGCTGGGCAACTGAAGCCGTCAACTTCGTTCGCGTGCTTGCGCATGCGCGTGCAGCGAGCGTGCCTGCCATCCTTCGGCCCGCCGCCCAAGCCGCTTGGGTCCTGCGTTGGAGCGGCATCATTGCCGTCGCTGCCCAGCGTGCCCTAGCCGCTTCCATGCATGCTGCACCTCCGTCTATAGCCAACGAGTGCAATGGTGGGGGCGGAACCCGCTTTGCACAAGCTGTTGGCTGAGTGCACTGGCACGAAGCGCCGGAGCACAGTCGCATACTGGCCATGCTGTGTAACTAGGGGACCGCTCGTTTCGAAAGGGTTGCAAAAAAAGCGTGGAAAAACTTGTCCTCCTGCTTTGCTCGGAAACCGCAGGTGCTGGAACGGCGATACAACCCGCCTTGTGTTGGATCTTGTGCGAGCAGCAGGTGGGAATTAAGTCCGGGGTAACTCCGACTGCAGGTTCGGTGGAAAAAAAAACAGCAACAACAAGTGCAAAGGCCGCTGCGGCTGCTCCTGCTGCTCGTCCTCGCAGCAGGCGTATAGCCGCAGCCGTCGTTGTGGCCGTAGCAGAAGCGCTGGCAGTGGAAGTACCAGTAGCCATTGCAGTGGTAGTAGCAGTCAACAGAAACGAAGTCGTGGTCAGCAGCCGTGGCAACAGCACCGGTCCACTGGCAGCTACACTTTCACGCCCCGGCAGCACGGATGCTTGCTTTTGCTCGTGCCTGCGGGCGCCCGTGCAAAGTGCTAGCGGCTCTCAACCTCAGCGGCGGCACAACTAGCCGATGCGGTGCTCCGCGGGTGAGTTCCGTTTTTGTTTCCGCCGTGCGATGCACGCTGCCATAAGCGCGGCCCCTTTGCAACAGCACGACAAACATCCGGCCCGTCTCTGTGCACATTCGGCAGCATGGCCGTGCACACGGGTGCGGTGGCTTTCGGGGGCGAGTGGAATGCGGTTTGGGTGCACCACCATGCGGGCAAGCGCAAGGACAGGTGCTGCCAGCGGGTGTCGGCGAGGAGCTCACGCAGGGCCGAAAGCAGTCCGGCAGCACGGAACGCCATTTGCACAGGCTGCTCGAGGAAGGTTGCTTATTGCACTCGCTGGGCCACGACAGCGATGAGGCTGGAGCTCCTGGTACGTTTCCGTTGGTTGCGGCGGTTGGCGTCGCGGAACGCTCTGCCGGCTGAGTGTCGGTGCTCAGGTGTGGCCGACCTGGCCAACAAGACTCCGCCCGACGCAGGCCCCGGCCTCTTGGCCGTGCGATGGTACGCTCGAAAGGCAGGGCGCAGGAGGCGAGAACTCCCGAGGTCCGAGCGGCAGAGGAGGAGGAGCAGTAGCAGCTATTGTAGTACCAGTTGCTGTTGTCGTGGTTGCGAAAGAGCGTGCCAATTATGTTATGTGTTGTCGTTAGTTCATGTTATTTCTGTCGGTACAGTCGCTGGTAAATCCCCGTTGCTGCTGGAAAAATAGAAAAACATCTGCAAGGAAGCAGGGTGGCTCAGAAATCATTCTGCAAAATAGGGTCTTGCCGTGCCAATGTCTTCGATGAACTGACATCCCCGGACCATACGAAAAAGCATACCGGAATGTCATATTATAGTTTTGCATGAGGATCACAAGTTCAATTTTGCCTGAGCATTGGAGCTCCCTAACATCAGGCCCCGAGAAGGACTTGTAAGTGTACGGTAGGAACAAAAGGACGAGCCTTCTCCAAGATGTACCGGATGTGCTTCTCCACATTCAAGCTCTTCGGATACGTGAACTTCCCACAGCTTTCGTACCAATCCCTGGCCACGCTTTAAGTCTGTTACGCGACCAAGGATGGATCGTATCTGGAGTCCCCTCAGCCCCCGAAATCCCCGAGCCTCAGCTTTCGCTGAGCCACCGTGTCGGTGATGGAGTCGTAGCGACCGGTCCTTAAACTTAAGGGGACAGCCCACCTATGGGCAGGCGGTGTAACGTTCAGGTTTGGGACCTGAGGCGTTCTGGTGGGCAACACATGACCTACCATGTCCATGTCCATAAGGCCAGAGCAACAGGGTGTGCAGCAGATCCGATGTTCTGCCATGCATGCGCAAGACACAAATTCCCATTTCCTGTTCAAGAAGCAACTGGGAAACGTAGAGTATACAGAGTGAAACACGAAATTGCAAACGGCTCGCTTGAAAGGCCTATGTGGCGCAGGAAACGAGACTCAACATCCGGCGTGACCCAACTGATGTCTTCATGGCACAATAGCGTGTTCAATTGAGCGGGGAGGGTGCGGCATTCTCAGCCCGGAGCCTGGACATCGTAGCGCAATGGAAAACTTGCGTGAAGTAGGCATACCGCCGCAGCGCACACCAAACGCTGGGGGTGCTCGCGATAGTGGCTCTTGCGATTCCGCGTGACACTGCCGGCCTCGGACCCGGTGTTGCCCGCAGCTGACCAGCGCCATCGTATGCTGGCACACGCACTACCCAAATGCACGTGCAGCTGTGCGTGCGAACTCCAGGCTTTGGGCTCGAAGTATGGGCAACGCATCCAGGAGGCCCAAGATGCCACCGGGCCACATGCTGAGCTGCACAACTAACTGCACGGAGACAGGCGGTCGAGTCGTGCCTGCATGCGGGGCCATTTAAAGGTACGTCGGCGGAGAGGCGGTAGCAGCGAGACAGCAAACGTGACAGGTGGGAGGTCAGCACGTCCGCTGGGGCTGAAGCTGGCGTCCGGAGCCATGCGCCAGGTGCTGGACATAGATATTCATCGTGTTTTTTGACAAAGAAAACTTCATAGAGAGCGTTGAACTGTCAGGATTTCGGGTGATGCCGCAGGCCAAGCACAGAGGCTGCACGAGGCGCAGCAACAACCCCGAGAACATCGGATGCACTCGGCTTCCAGAGCTAGACGGCCTACACTGCGAGCTGTAGGATCCTTACCGCAGGACTCCCACTCTGAGGACCCGAGGACCCGTGAATGACAGGCCCAGTGTCATGTAGACCTCCGCGCTTCGTCGGTCACAGAAAGCCTTGACGAGATTTCAGCTTCGCAGGGCTCCCAGCGGTTTAGTTTAAGGCTTTCGGGAGTTTAACGCAAGACTTTACCAATTCGTCCCTCCCTTGCTGGACTGTGGCGTGGCGGGAGTCGCCGGACGAATTCTAATGCTACAGAGAAACATATCAAAAAGCCTCGGCCAAGCACGCCCCACACGACGTCCTAGGAGAGAGGGAGAGAGGCCAGGCCCGAACGCTGCAGTCGGGGAGCGTGATGGTCATTGAAGCCGCCCCAGTCATTGCCACCACGGTACCTTACTTTTTCGACTCCGGTCGTCTCACGTCCAAGTCTACATCAGTCGACATCTGTGACTGCAGGTCCTCATCCGCCGCAACATAACACCAAAACCGTGAACCTAAGCCGGTGTCCGGACCGTGCGTTGAAGGTCATGCTGCCCTGGCCCTTACCTTCCCTCAACACGCCTTGACACTTTCAAACCCGAAGCTACGTACGGGTCAACCCCCTGAACCCCTGAACCTTTGTCTAAAATTGGAGTGCTGATGGCTGCTCACTCCACACAAACCAGGATTGACCAACCCGAGCCTGCGAGCCGCAAAAAAAACCTTGAAACTCGCCTTGGATCTAGGGGGTTCCAAGGTCTCTCGGTTACAAGCTTCAGGCTTTCGGGGGCTCTCCCGGGACTTGAAGCTGGAAGGAAGGCGGGTACATGCTCGAGCCGGCAATTAGGGTTTGGGCCTTGGGAGACAAAAGTTGCCACCTCGGAGAATGCCCGCGGTTTGTTTTAGGGGTTCAAAGGAGCAACAACTCGAAACTCTGGCCCCGATCCAAGTCGACGCAGTTCCTCTTCAGCCAAAAGCTGGGGCCCTTTGGGTCCGGGGCTTAGGAGCGCCTCAAAAAGCCGAGCCACCAGGGGATCCAGCAGCCCGGACCGTCCGGCAGCGGTGGATGGGGCTCCAGCCACATGTTGTCGAACCGCGATAGGACAACGTGCCGATATCGATACCTGGGGTTCTGGGGTGCGTTACCGGCTTTGCTTTTCATATGACATATGAGAAGCAAAGCCGGTAACGCACAGCGAGCTCTAATGGCCCAAAAATTGCCATGACAGGAAACAGATTTGTGAGAGTGCAACTCTGATGGACTGGTACAAGTCTTCACTACAACAGCAGCAACGGCGACGGCAAAGCAATGCAGGCATACGAGCCGCACTGAAAGTGAGATTGTTGAACAAGTCTCAGAACATCTACATAGCAGCTCCTAGCAGAACTTCCTAAGGCTCTGATGGGACCTCCATCTTAAAACTTGAAGAGCTCCCCAGATCGGATCGCAGGACCGGGCCGGGCTGCCCTCTGACATGCTCCTCCTCGTCGATGAGCTCCTTGCAGCGCCTCGCAGGAAGGAGCGGCTTGAGTAGCTGTTGATCTCCTGTGCGCCGACTCCGGGGATCTCGCAGCTCAACAGCTTTCCGAAACAGACATCATAGGCTTGGACGGCTTGGAGCTAAAAACTCTTGAAACCCTCGAGGACTGAACTAACCCGAAGCCTGTCCGGACCCTTTAGGTCCAATAGCCGAGATGAAGAGCCGCAACATCCAAGGACTGTGTAGATGACTCCTCTGTCTTCACCCTGTGGATATGCAAGGTCACTGAGCGCTGCGATCCCTGCTTAAGCCATGATCAGAAACCCAAATGCAAAGCCCCTAAACCCTGAACCCTTAACTAACCCTAAACCTTACACTTCTACACCCCTAAACCCTATGAACCTTAACCCTTAAAACCTCTACGCCAGTAAACCCCAAACCCTCCTGGGCTCTCTCCCGAACTGGTCAGGCCTGAGGCTGCGCACCTGGAACCACCCCGAGCCAGGGAAGAAGACGCCCCCGGCGAAGTTGCCTAGATCTTGGGCTACTAGTAGGGGGTTGAGGGGTTTCGTAGAGGTTTAGGGTTTATAGGGGTTTCAGGGGTTTCGAGGCTGAGGGGTTTAGGCTAGCTTTCAGATGGTATCGTCTTCAGGGTTACTGCCTGCCAGGCTTCAGGGCCTGGGCTGCAAGGCTCGTCGTCTTCAGAGAAAATCTAAAGAAATCCCAAATTTCTTGAATCTCCCATATGGGCCTTAGTAGCAGCCTTCAACTTCGTGCCTAGTGCGCTTGATCCGCAACGCCCACACATCCCCAAACCACACGGTAGAAAAAGCATCGAGACCCGTGGACAGCGGTCGCCAACGCTGTCTGGACATACTCAGCCATGGCTTTAAGGTCTTCGGGCTTCACTGCAAGCACTGTAAATTACCGAAACGTGCTCGAAATGAAAGAGACGCGCCCAAACCGAACCTGCATGCTAAGCCACAAACACTCTAAGCACTGTCAACTCCAAACCCTCGCCGTAAACCCTGCGCCCTAAACCGTCTACGGTGTCCGACGTCTCCGTACCCTCCAAAGCCCCAAACCCTAAACCTAAACCCGAAACCCTCATACCCTTAATCCCTTAAGCCCTAAACCCTGCACGAGCCTTCAATCTCAAAGACGTCCCTCCAGCCCGGAAACTGCTCGAGATGCCTCTCAAGGCCATGGCTTCTTGGGGGGAGGCGGGGGATGTACAGCCCTTTTTTGGGGGTCTGACACGGTTTTAGGATTAGGGCTTAGGGCTCTTTGAGGTTGGGGGGTTCAAGTCCTTCGTGCTTGGCAAAACGGGCATACAGCTTCCGTGCTCTGTTGCTTAGGGCTGCGGGAGGGTTGCATCCTTCAGGGCTGTGGGGGAACATGTACAGCGCGAGTTCCACTCGGACGGCACAGGGTAGCAATAAAGCTCTGAGGTTTTCTGTGCTTGCGTCTAAGGCTTGGGTGTAAGCACTTCAGCACTCAAGCTACAACCAAAACACAACCTTCCACACATAGAGGCATAAAGGACAACAAGAACACAACACGAAGACCTGGTGTCCTTTCAGCTCCGCCGGGATACTTGAAAGCCATATCTACGATAGGCACAAACAGCATGTATTCTAAGCCTCTAAGCACGCAAGATGTGCAAAAGGCTTCTTCTACACTGCCCCAAGGCGCCCTAGCGATTGACATCACTGCAACACTGAAAGCAAATGCAAACATCAAATCGCGCGACAGCAACCGCACACGGTCAAGTGAAGGCCCCGCGGCCTCTGGGCAAGCCCGAATTCATGAACCCCCAAAATCCTACACCCTGAAGCCTTCAATTTCACAACCCCCCAAACCCCAAATTTCCACCATCCCCTTCCCCATCCACCTTGCAGCCCCGCACGTCCAGAAACTCTAGGTTCTCCCGAATCCGCAAGTCAAAAAACCCATAAACCCCCAATGCCCAAAAATTCTCCCAAACCCCGTCCACCCGACGTACTAAAGAGGCCGGAAAGAAGCCCCGCAGGGAACCCCCGCTGCCTCTGGGGGTCTTCGGAGTTCACGTCCAGAACCGCCCTGCGCCAGGGGTGGAAGCCCGACACTTCGGCCTCCCTGGCCTCAGCTTTCCGGAGATGGGGTTTAGGGTTTAGGGCTGAGGGCTCGGGGGTTTAGGGTTTAGGGCTTAGGGGCGTCGTCGGCACCTACAGACGTGAGCCAATGAAGCTCATCCAGGCCCTTTCCACCAGGGACGGCTTTCGCAGATCCAAGGGTGCTGAGGTGACGCAGCTTGCACGCTCTGTATGCTTCCTGCTGGCCCTCTGCATCCCCCTCATTGAACGGTAAAGGGTTTAGCTCAGGGGTTTAGGGTTTAGGGTTTAGGGCTCAGGGGTTTAGGGCTCAGGGNNGGTTTAGAGTTTGGGATTTAGGGTTCGGAGGGCTCAGGAGGCTTGAGACAAACACTATGATGAAGGACGATAACGCCATTGCAGTGAGCGCAGGGAGTTGACAAGTTACTAGCTAGGAAGATTTGGGCTCTTTAGAGGCTCAAGGGTTAGTTATAGACAGGCTTGCACCGTGGATTCTGGATGTAGTGTATTTCACACTGAGAAGACACTGCAAGACCATGAGGCATTAGGGATACAGGAGTCCACGTTGGAGTTAGGCCCTGTGGTCGTTGAGTCGAAGAGAACGTACAGAGCGACTCCATGCATTTCACGTTCAGATGTTCAGGGCCTCTACACTGGCGCACCAGGCCGCCGAGAACGAGAACTGCGAAGTGCTGACATGAGCGTTTCAAGGTCTTACGATATTGGGCTGAGAGTTGCTGCAGAGGTTCAGAAGGCTTATAAAGGTTTTTTTGGGAGCTTTGGGTTCAGAATGTTCTTCCCCGCGCCTCGGTCGACACCAGAAAAAGCTCCGCTCCCAGCACCTGCGCCACGTTCCTCCTCGAGGGACAGCCATTTGGCTTTGTTGCAGGGGCCCCGGGCCCTCGTCGCTTCCGGCCACGGCCAATTTGATGCCTATAAACAACCCCAAGAATTATGCATGGACAGAAACGAAGACAGACAGATGGATGCAGGGAGGGAGGGAGGGA